GGGCAGAAACTGGTGGCGGCGCGTGTGGCTCACTCGTTGGGTTTCCGGCGATGCGACTTGGTGGGTAGGCCGATCTGAGGATTCCGCTTCCACTGTTGGTAAGAAAGCGGTTGGATGTAGATGTCACTCGGAATGGGTGACCTAGAGATCGCAGCTGCTGCTCACTTGGGCAACGTAAAGAATTCAAAGCTGCTCACTTGGGCAGCAACGGGAAGAAAACCAGAAATTAATTTCAGACAGGAATTGGTGTCTCCAGCTCTGATACCATGTGACAGAACAAGAATTGGAAGAAATTGATATCTCCTTCAACTGAGAAAATAGTACATATATATACAGCCTTGTAGATACTAAAATAGGAAGAAAATCTAATTCCTATAATCAAGCTACTCCTAATTGGGCTAATACTCCATAATTACATCCTATAATTACAACTTAACTCCATAATTACAGCCTATAATTACAACCTATAATCTCGTAACATTGTAGAAACTAGGGTTTCAAGAGAGAGGAAGAAGAGAAGAGAAGAGAAGAGAAGAGAAGAGAAGAAGAAGGGGAAGAAGAGAGCAAGTGTCGAGAGGTGTGTGTTTTCACTGTTCACACCCTCAAAAGAATACATTATAATCTGAGAAAATAATAATTACAAGAAGGCCCCTATATGGGTGCCCAAATACTGAGAGAGTATAAGAAAGGAGAAAAAACCAAAATCACCCCTGTCTAGCCATCTCAACAATCTTCATCAAAGAATTGTAAAGAAAGCTCTATTTCTTCTCAAACCTTTCACTATTCTCCCCCTTTCTTCAACCTCTTCCGGCCCTCATTCTTCCCATAAGAGACACTACAAGCTAGTCTTTCCACCTCGCTCCTCATTTTCCTTCCTTTTTTTCCCCCACCCCCTTCTTTTCTAATATAAACTCTCATGTTTGCCTGCTCTTCCTTGGATTCCTTTGAACTCTTCCTCCTCTTTTTGGAGGATTTTCTTGCTACTCCTCCACTACTCACCATTCTTTGCTCATTTTCACCATTCTTCTCACCTTCATCAGGGCATGTGAGGTATTTATATCTTTGTAATTGTCTAAAAAGGATACTTTTGTCTGTCCCATGTTATAAGTAAAACAAGTAGTTACCYTTTAAATTTAGAAGACTATAATTAGCTCCCAGCTGCTACGTACGGCAAAGTTAAGAGACTCACCGAACAAATCACTCTCTTTTCTCTTCTACACCTGTGGATATGGTGTCTTTATCTACATTTCTCTACAATGCCACTACTTTTCTGGACTAAAACCACATGGAAATGGTCAAGTTATAAGAACAACAAAATAAACAATAAAGGCCAATTTCTCTCTTATTTTCCTTTGGTTATTCATGGAATGCACTTTCCACATCTTAGAAAAAGATGATGTTTCATGGCTAATGTATTATATTCTTCATCCCTTTTCTCCAATATGCAAAGCAGTAAATAAATACTGAAGACAGTAAAACCCACAGCAAACTTGCCCAAAATGCTACTGAAGAATTATAAATACAAGGCATATATAGATAGAAAGCCATATATATATATAACTGTTAGTGGAAGTGAATGCCACTCAACTGGGAAGAGGGGGAGAAAAAAGACCAAGAGCAGCCTAAGCCCATTTAGATGGGTTTCTATATATGAGATGTACAAAAGATACAATTTTGCTTGGTAAGAACAGGCCTATAACATATCACTATTAGTRTGCAATCACAAAAAGATACATACCTCAACACCACCAATGCAAAAGAGTACAATCAGACACCATACGAATCCTGATGACATGAAAAAGTAGAACAGTACAAGAAATGTGGATGCTGATATCACAAAAGCTATGGCACCTGTTGCATTAATATCCACACTTTCATTCTCAGAGTCACCCTTGGCTGTCCCAGCATTGGAAGAWTCCTAGCCAATGAAAGAAAGGAAATGTAATCACAAAATGCATCTCTTTTAATGACATTCTAGAATAGAGTAATCTAAGCAATTGGAGCAAAAATAATCCTTTGTTATATGCAGAATATTAAATGGAGAAGCACAAGCCATGCAGAAGCTATCAAAATTGAAAAGGTACATTATGTGTGATAAAATATACCAAGGTTACATAATGTGTACAAATTATTCCAAGAGTGATGATTTCCTTCTTTTGTTATTCGGAAGGTGTTCATAGGAGCCTTCTAACTGTAATTTGTCCCTCCACCAGTAACAATACACCACATTTGAACCCTTCTTCTTCTTCCTATTCTTCTTCTCTCTTCCTATTCTTTCTACTTGAACCATCCTACCTTTCTACATCTAGTAATAAAAATAAAATATAATTAAAAATAGACAACAAGGAGGTATTTGGGAGAGTTGAGGAGAGAAAGAAGACTCCCACTGATCCAATTAGCAATTGGAAAATAAAGAGACGTGCAAACAACTAATGATGGGGAGAGAGTTAAGATGGAATTCAAAAGCGGACTGTAATCTAAAATTGAAGAGAGAGGAAAGTCATTGGAGACAGAAATCAAGAAATGGATGGATTAGACAAGAAGAATAAAAGCCTAAATACGTTCATTATTTGGGTAACTGGAGGAAGAAAATTTTTATATACAGCTTGGTAATATTCTGAGACCATTACACATCAAGAAGGGATGGCAAATGCTTTGTGCATCATTTAAATCAATATAAAAGAAATCAGACATCTAAATACTTAAGAAGGAATGGACAATTAGTTGCCTCCTGATTTCTTGACGACAGTTTTGCTCACTTCATTCAAAAGTTACATACTTGATAATCTTACTAAATTTTGTATACAACTTTTCCCTTTAAGTAAATAGTAATTAAATTTCCTTATCATCACATTTAATAACATAATAATTGATTTTCAACTCTACTATAGTCCCATTAAATGATATTTATAAACGGATCCCTTCAACATTTGGTATTAGCACATCATATTCAAAGTAAATTACACTGTTGTGGGATTTAACAGTGTGGGCCTCAGCCCATTTACATTATGTCTTCCTATTTCTTGTTGGGCTATACTTCTGTTATTAAGTCTTCATTTTAAGTTACTCCATCTCTTACTAATGGGGGGGGGGGGGTGGTAAAGTTGTAATCTTATGTTTTTTAATGTTGCCCTAATATAAATAACAGTTTGAAGGGCTGGGTAAGATTAAGTCACCCTATTCTTCTTCTTTTACTTCTTCATGAAATAGAATACAAACATACACATTAAATTATGTTATTTAAATGTGTCTCCATTTCTTACCTAATCAACATAGTAACTCCACATTTTGTTTCAATTTTTATTGGCGGATGAATGATTTTGTCAACAAGTTCTCAAGAAAATTGGTAGAGGCACTCCCCATGCATTCATAGAAATGCATGTATGCATGCAGATGTACATATGTAAATGCACATATAATGAGTTATCCAGATGAAGATAAGCAATTTATAGGCAAACCTTAGGAGACAATTGATTATAGTGCTCATCATCTTTCTTGCGTGCAACAATATCTGGCCACAAACATGCCAAGAGAATGGTCCCAACAGCCATCATCCATAAGAAGATCACTGATAAGTCCACAATTGGACGATCTGGAGAATACAGCAGAAGCTCCACTACATTGGAAAGAATACAATTAGCCATTTGTATACTAAACAAAAACATGGTCAATGTGGATGCAAAATATGAAAAAGTTCAAATATATGACCAAAAAACTGTAACAACGTTTTCCCTGAACTGTTGCAAAAAACATGTAAATGAATAACTAGAAACCAAAGTGCTAACAATAATGCACATGTAGCATTAGCTAGTCTCTAACAACAACCCTATTAACAACCCACTTATTAAAGCATTCAAGGTCTTCTTCTGTGTTCAATAGCTAATTATTATCACCTAACTCGAAGCAATGCAATCATATTTCTTCACTTAAGTCACATGTATTGGCCTGCAAATGATCTTATAGGCTACTGGTCTGATCTCAACCAATCTGCGAACCCAGTATCCTATACAGATAACTGTAAACCATAATTCCGATTACCAAGTTCTATAAAAACGGAGCTCTCTTAATCTCAATAATCATTCGCAAGAAAAACAAAGTTGCTACACTTCATACCCCTGGACCAAGCCCACTTTCCTTTCTGAACTTGAACAGCAATGGTGTAGGCTTTTTGGGGCTCTCCTTGAAGTCAGTGCCCCATAAAATTGCCCATGAATTTGTTCAATACTTGTTTTGCACTCCATAAATTCCTAAGATTTCATATTTTTATCCATATCTAACTCTTATTCTTGGTGAATTTATTGAGAATAAGATAGTTTTTCATAATTGAGTGTAATGGTCCATTTATGTCATTTAATTATGGCTGTTTGTGATTGTCTTATTCTTTACTTATAAAGGTAGTGGTGTCCTTTTACTTTAAGTTGTTAGATCCTTCAGGCATCCATGTAGATCATGTGATACAAGGCTTTTTTTAAGGATAAAGAGAATTTCATTAAAGAAAAACGAAAGTACATCAGCAGGTGATAAGATATGACCAAAGCATAAGAGCAATTTCAAGAAACCCAAAAAGGTCCAATACACCCACAAACTACAAACATGTATTACCCAATCATCCTAAAGTAAATCAAAGAAACAGACCCAATACAAATCCCCTAACATCAAAGACCACCAACCCGACACTAAACCAAAGTAAAGATCACTATCCTGAAACCCGCATCAATCTTCATCTGTAAGTGTTTCCTCTTGGTCTGAGGGACTGATACACATCCCAGCTCAGAACCCGGTCCAGCCCATTCTTCACGGGCCTGGGCCAGCCAGCAAGTAGACTTCCCTCTGCTCGAGTCCAGAAGGCGTGAATCTCATGAGCACGTCACACCACCGCCTAATCGTTTGCAGCTTTTGAGAGCCAATCATTGGGCATTATTGTTATTTGTTTTACAAGCAATTATTATCCTGTAACGGCCATGACGAGTCTCTCTTTTTCTATAAATAGCTACCCTGATAATGAATAACATAGAGAGATATATTTTCATCACTAAACTTCGACTCCTTTTCTTCTTCTTTTCAGTGAACTGGTGCAGACCAGCACCATTCCGCGAGGAAGGAAAATGCGGTCCGCTCGGATCCGCGAAGAAATAGATACCAATTTGGTATCAGAGTCGTTTGATCCTGGGGAGGAGCCAATGGAGGACTGGGAGCAGAGACTCAGTGGAGTGGAGCGTGGGCAGGCGGAGCTGGCCAAGGGTCAGGCGGAGATGAACCGTGGGATGGATGAGATGATGGGTAAGTTGAATAGCCTCAGCCTGAGTACTAGTAGTCAACAACAGCCCTTTCTGATGCATCAAGCGGCTACAGGAACCTCTCAAACCAGAACTGAAGGATTGGAGCAAGGGAGTGGATTCCATACTAACTTCCAACGGAGAGTCAGGGTGGAGTTACCGCAGTTTGATGGGAACAATCTAGATGGGTGGCTCTTGTTAATCAAACAGTATTTTGAGCTGCAAGAGGTACCAGAGGAACAATGGATCTCGGTGGCTAGTTTGGGCTTTGAAGGGAGGGTGATTGAGTGGTACTACTGGTACAAAGATTTCCAGCCCACTTCTTCCTGGCGATAGTTTGTTTCAGCATTAGATAGCAGGTTCAATGGTGCCCTATGATCAAATCAAGCTGGAAGATTAACTAAGTTAACTCAAACTTCAACTGTGCAAGACTACCTTGAGGAGCTTCAGAGGTTGTCAAGCAGGGTTAAGGGGTTATCTGAGGAGTTCTTGGTGGGGTGTTTCGTAGCTGGGTTTAGACCAGATCTGTGGGCAGGGGTAGAAAAGTTCGAGCCAATGAGCCTAGCAAGGGCAACCCAATTGGCACTACTTGAAGAAGAGGAGTGGAATGCTGAGAAGAAATTGCAGAAGGTGGAAGTAAGAAAGCCAAGGGTGGGTCCCAGCATCAACCCGGCATCCAAACTACCAGAAGTCAAGAAACTGACCCCAGCTGAGGTCAAGGACCGGAGGGCCAAGGGACTCTGCTACAGCTGTGATGAGCAGTTGCGTCCTCAACACCGTTGCAAAACCCAGAAGTTGTTGTGGATACTTGGACTCTCAGAGGAGGATGAGGAATCTAGTGACGGACCTAATGAAACAGAGGTGCTCGAGGAAGTTGATCGAGCTCCTGAGATCTCCCTTCACTTCTTAACTGGGGGAAGCCCGGCACACACCATGAGAATTCAAGGTAACATTTTAGGCTGCCCTGTTTATGTTCTGATCGATAGTGGATCTACTGTAAATTTCCTAGACCCCAAAATAGCAAGGAAGGCAAGCCTTAACATGTCAACTGAACAACCATCTGATGTGGTAGTGGCCAATGGTGAAACATTACATGGGGCAGGGACTTGTTTACAGGTGCCCATTAAGGCCCAAGGAGTAACAATGGTGGCAGACATGTATTTATTACCTTTAACTGGGTATGATGTCGTGCTTGGGGCCCAGTGGCTCAAACCTCTTGGGCCCATCGTGTGGGACTTTAATACATTATGTCTTCAATACACCAGCCCAAAGGGAACCTGTTGAAGTTCGACCTGCCCTAGAATTCTGTCTTGTTCGTTGACTGTAAAGTAAAGTGAACAGAAAGAAGTA